CTCTCTTTGTTTCTGGGGACCAAAGACAATGATTTCGGTTTTGTCTGCATTTAGCTGGAGGAAATTATTTTGCATCCAGTCACTGATCTGTTGGATACAGTGAAGGAGCAAATCCAGTGGTCCATGTTCTCCTGCAGTCAGTGAGACATAGATCTGAGTGTCGTCGGCGTAATTGTGGTAGGACACTTTGTTTCTTTGTATTAACTGACCTAACGGCAGCATGTAGAGATTAAATAGGAGAGGTCCCAGGATCGACCCCTGTGGTACTCCACAGGTCAGGGCCACATGATCTGAGACGCAGTCTCCAATCTCCACAAAGTACTTCCTATCCTCCAGGTAAGACCTAAACCAGTCTAGGGCTGTGCCAGTGACACCAACCCAGTCCTCCAGTCTCTGCATGAGGATCTCATGGTCGACAGTGTCGAACGCGGCACTAAGATCTAACATGACCAAAACTGTGACTTTACCGGCATCAGTGTGAAGTCGAATGTCGTTTGTTACCTTCACTAGAGCGGTCTCAGTGCTGTGGTGGGGTCTAAACCCAGACTGGAACATATCAAAAGAATTATTCATTGTTAAAAATTCAGTAAGTTGTTGGGAGGCCACTTTTTCAAGAATTTTTCCAATGAATGGCAGATTCGATATGGGGCGATAATTTTGAAGTCCCGCAGGATCCAGACTGCTCTTTTTTAGGAGAGGTCTTATGACTGCTGTTTTTAGGGCCATAGGAAATGTTCCTGACGACAGAGACATGTTTACTATTTGTGTCAGTGAAGGTAACAAACTGCTCAGGACGGACTTCAGAAATTTAGAGGGCAATATATCCAGGCTACATGTGGAGGAGCTCAGACTCATGATTATCTTTTTGACAGTTTCAGTATCCACAGGTGCAAAGTGAGTTAGCTCAAAAAGCTTCTCAGGCTGTTGCATTGTTATACGTGCTGTGGAGGTGATAGTGTTTTTGATTCCTTGTACTTTGTCATCGAAAAACTGTGCGAACTCATTACACCTAGATTTAGAGGAAAATTCTAGGGGCAACTTTACAGGGGGGTTCGTTAATCTACCAACTGTTGAAAACATAACACGAAAATTGTTACTGCAACCTCCAATAATGTCAGAAAAATGCCGATGTGTGTGTGTGTCCCGGTGTGTGAGTGTGTGTGTCCCAATGTGTGTGTCCCTGTGTGTGTGTCCCGATGTGTGTGTGTGTGTGTGCGTGTGTGCGTGCATGCTTGCGTGTGTCCGTGTGTCCCGATGTGTGAGTGTGTGTGTCCCGGTGTGTGTCCCTGTGTGTGCGTGTCTGAGTGTGTGTGTGTCTGTGTGTCCCTGTGTGTTTGTGTCCCTGTGTGTGTGTGTGCGTCCGGGTCTGTGTGTGTGTGTGTGTGTGTGTGTGTGTGTGTGTGTGTGTGTGTGTGTGTGTGTGTGTGTGTGTGTGTGTGTGTGTGTGTGTGTGTGTGTGTGTGTGTGTGTGTGTGTGTGTGTGTGTGTGTGTGTGTGTGTGTGTGTGTGTGTGTGTGTGTGTGTGTGTGTGTGTGTGTGTGTGTGTGTGTGTGTGTGTTTAAACCCTGTGCTCCTCTCCTCTTGTTGTTGGTCCATTGTGTGTTTTTGTCTGTTTCATCTCGTCTTGGTTTGAGTTTGGTGTTCTGTATTTAGTTATTTTGATGTTTAGTTAATTAAATATAAAATCTTTTTGGAGTCTTGCATCTCGAGTCCTTCTGTTTTCACTACGTCACAAACTATCACTATCACGCTGCTGACAACAGGTGGCATACAAGCTACACACGGGTCTTGCTGTGCATTGTGTTGCTCTAAGCCTTGGGAGAGTAATGATTCTGTTATACTTGCATGGCTTCTCATATATTGATCTGGACCAGGAGGAGGCCCCTCCCGCAGGGGCCCCATTCCTCGGCTCCTACTGTGACTGCACATACGTGTGTGAAAATACCAGCAGTTGGTTTGTCAACAGAGATGCTGAAGGAGGGAGAGCCGCACGGACCAGACTCTGACACCAGGAGGAAACACACATTTGCACGGATGACGCACACATGTGGACGTTAGAGAATATCTGCACCGGGGATTAAGATTAAGATTAAGAGCTCCTTTATTCATCCCACAGCGGGGAAATGTCAGAGTTGCATTACAAGTTACAGAACAGTAGGAATGAGCAGCATTAATGTACATACAGCCCCCTTGAACCTTTCAACATTTTGCCACATTTAAGGCTTCAAACATAAAGATATAACATTTTAATTTTTTGTCAAGAATCAACAACAAGTGGGACACAATCGTGAAGTGGAACGAAATTTATTGGATAATTTAAACTTTTTTAATAAATAAAAAACTGAATAGTGGGGCGTGCAATATTATTCGGCCCCTTTACTTTCAGTGCAGCAAACTCAGTCCAGAAGTTCAGTGAGGATCTTTGAATGATCCAATGTTGTCCTAAATGACTGATGATGATAAATAGAATGCACCTGTGTGTAATCAAGTCTCCGTATAAATGCACCTGCTCTTTGATAGTCTCAGGGTTCTGTTTAAAGCGCAAAGAGAACCATGAAGACAAAGGAACACACCAGGCAGGTCCGAGATACTGTTGTGGAGAAGTTTAAAGCCGGATTTGGATACAAAAAGATTTCCCAAGCTTTAAACATCTCAAGGAGCACTTTGCAAGCAGTTATATTGAAATGGAAGGAGTATCAGACCACTGCAAATCTACCAAGACCCGGCTGTCCCTCCAAACTTTCATCTCAAACAAGGAGAAGACTGATCATAGATGCAGCCAAGAGGCCCATGATCGCTCTGTATGAACTGCAGATAACTACAGCTGAGGTGGGGATGGTGTGTTCAGGGTGATGAGCTGTGTTTCTTTTACGCCAAACATATCGTTTTGCATTGTGGCCAAAAAGTTTCATTTTGGTTTAATCTGACCAGAGCACCTTCTTCCACATGTTTGGTGTGTCTCCCAGGTGGCTTGTGGCAAACTTTAAACGAGACTTTTTATGGATATCTTTGAGAAATGGTTCTTCTTGCCACTCTTGATTCATGGTTCTCTCTGCGCTTTAAACAGAACCCTGAGACTATCAAAGAGCAGGTGCATTTATACGGAGACTTGATTACACACAGGTGCATTCTATTTATCATCATTAGAGGTGCAACGGTTCATCACTGATCCGTGATCCGTTCGGTTCAACGTCTTCGGTTCGGTACAGACGTGATCCGCGGTTTGATTTATGAAAAAAAAGTTGTGCGCACGTTGTTCAGTCCACACACAGCGTGGTCATTGCGAGCGGAGGAACGGAGATGCTTGAAAGCCCTGCGTCATTTAAATCCCCAGTATGAGAGCATTTTGGCTTCACTGTAACTACACTGATAATTAATATTCGACAAAACTGTCACGATGTGTAAGCACTGTGGCACAAGAAAGACATGAGTGTAAAAAGCGTCTCAACGACCGCTTATTGTCGCAGCATTTAAGCAGCTCCTTTACGCACAGTCAGACCAGGCTAAAGTCAACTCTCCCGCGCATCCTCAGCTGCGCTCACGACTGACGCTTGGACGTCCCGCGGAACCTATAATAGATCCATGAACAGAACCTATAATAGATCCATGAGCGGAACCGCTCACTTCATCACCGCAGACTGGGAGATGAAAAGTCTGGCGCTGAAGACACGCCCCCTCTACGACAGTCACACAGCGCAGGTTCTGACACAAGCAGCGGAGGAATGGAAGACAAAGGCCCAGTACTAATATCCCAGTCACAACTGATAATGCCAAAAATTAAATAAATGCAGTGAATGAGGCTGGGCCCAGAATGGACCCCCTCCTCGGGAGAATCAGGAAGGTGGTGTAATATCCTCATAAAGTGCCTTCTTATGTTGCACTTTGTGTTGTTTTTCATTAATTATGTTAAATAGACATAATTGGATGGATGGAATATGCCTTCCATCCATCCATCCATTTCCTTCCCCTTAATTCATTTCTAGGTCAGGGGGGGCAGTCAGAGCAGGTGCCGAGTCCACATGAGCTGTGTTTATTAAAAAGACAAAACTTTTTTTTAGAAAAATGAACCGAAAAATGAACCGAACCGTGGCCTCTGAACCGAGGTACGAACCGAACCGTGATTTTTTCAAACCGTTGCACCCCTAATCATCATCAGTCATTTAGGACAACATTGGATCATTCAAAGATCCTCACTGAACTTCTGGACTGAGTTTGCTGCCTGAAAGTAAAGGGGCCGAATAATATTGCACGCCCCACTTTTCAGTTTTTTATTTGTTAAAAAAGTTTAAATTATCTAATAAATTTTGTTCCACTTCACGATTGTGTCCCACTTGTTGTTGATTCATGAAAAAAAATTAAAATTTCATATCTTTATGTTTGAAGCCTGAAATGTGGCGAAATGTTGAAAGGTTCAAGGGGGCCGAATATTTTCGCAAGGCACTGTATATGGATGATGTGTTTGTACAGGGATCTACACATCTATTTAGTCATGAGGAAGCTCGTAAAACTTTGACCCAAGAATCAGACTCTGCTTTGATCAAACAAGTTTTAATCACTTAAAAACACTAAATGCAGATTGACAGAATAGCATTTTTATTTAACATTCTCTTTCTCAGTCTTGTCTTGTGTGTGAATGATAGTAGATGTATAATTCCAGGGTCTACAATTTTAGATTTTATTGTTAATATTTTTATGATAGATATTAGTAGATTAATGAGGGTAAACTGATTATCAAGTCGTTATCACACACATTTGAAACTAAACATTATCCACGAGAATCCCTGTGTGTTGTGTGTGTATTAGTTGAATATCTAGAATTTCCTCTGTTAAATATGAAACAAAACGAGACTGAACAGAACAACACCAGTTTCAAATCTGTTGAAATGCAGCCTGACTGGCCTCGTTTTTTGTCGCGTAAAAGTTGTGTAGATTTTATTGCGAAACCATCTGCTTTTTCTGGCAACACAAATAGATATCGTGCTAAATTGTGCGTCATGTGATCAGTTCAAGCCGTCAATAATGGTGCAGTGAAGTGTGATGGGCCAGCCATGACCCAGACGGCCCGCGGTGTCTACACTAGTCTGAGCCTCGACCTCTGGCCCGTCCCGCAGCACACGGCCCTTCTGTCGCTCTATTCTGGAGTGTGTCCCAAACAGAGAGGACCCCTCCCACTCCGCCGCGCACCCCTCCCACATGAGGAGAGCCCCATTGTTTCCTGTGCTCCTCTCCATTGTCTCAGCTGGGAATGCAAGTATGATGCTGATGCAAGGAACTGTCTCCTGGAGGTTCGTCACAAATAAAAAATGGCTTGCTAATGCTTTTTGTCAACTTTTTGTGAGACCGTAACAGTAGGCAAAAATGTAGATGAACACACACACACACACACACACACATGCACACGTACACACATATAGACAAAAATACAATAAAAATTTGCATTCATAGAAAATGTCTTTCTGCCTTTCTGTGTAAAATAGAGTGATTATTTAAAACTTAACTGCATAAAACAATAATTTCAAGTCTTGGTGAATCAGTTTTTGTCCAATAATCAGCGTTATCTGAATGTTTATCTTCTGTGTTTCAAGTGCAATGAAATGGAACAAGCGACACTATGAAAGCAGCGCATTTGACCTATGAAGTAATACTGAAAAGAATTGTCTGACAAATGCGTGTGGCCGCTACCTGGGTTTAGTCTGCCATCTTCAGGCCGCTCTGAGTATTACCATCAGCAGAGCACACTTATGATTTACAATCCGTGAAGCGAAAAACGTGGTGATTGTTCCTTGATGAAATTAGGCATCCCCACCCCTAATCTCTCCTTATTTCATTGAGGATTTGCAAAAAGCCATAACGTCAGAACCTTGCATCATAACATGTGGCATCTGTTAAAGGGAATGATCGTCACCAGGAAAATTCTCCACAGGTTTAAATACATCTTAATCATGTCTTAATATGAATGGGTTATGCCTGGAAATAAACTGCATAATTAGGCAAATATATGGTGCATTTATGACTACATTATCATAAGCATTCAAGCCATTGAGGAACACGCTTACCTACGATTTTAACAGCAGTTTCTCGGCATATTTTGATGAATCAATTTAACCAAGTTTACAGTAGAAAGAGCTCTAAACATGTTTTTATGTTTAAATCTATCCCGAGTATTGGCTACAGTGCAGAGATTTGTGCTCCAAATCATGCTCTACACCCTCAGGGAGTTGTGGTATTAAATAAGACCTACCTTTGGAGCATTAGTGGAATTCAATATCTGCAATGTAATTATTCTGCTCAATAAGCCACTGGAGGAGGATATTCCATTTACTACAAGCTCTGAAGCTGGTACTTCTGGGTGTTTTATGTTCATGCAATATAAGCCAACATGGTAGAGGAGATGGCGACATTTTTACATGTTTGCAAGATATTAGTGCGGCGCAGATTAAAAAAAAAAAACTGAAAAAAATAAAGAAATGACTTTGGAATAACACAATAATGATTGTAGCAAAAGTGAACTATTTGCAGTTTGTGAAAAGCATTTACAGTGTTTACGCATATCCGATACTGTCAGCCAAATATCCATATCCACCCATATCCAAATACTAAGTGGGATTTATTCAGTAATATGTATTTTGCAGCACAGACTAGTCAGAGTAGGTGCATCTGCAGAATAATCTCATCTCAAATCGGCGGGATGAGGCGCTTTGAAAGTCCAAAAAGCTGTAAGTGGCAGTGACACCGGGTACATGCATTACTGTGATGTACTATCAGCTCCATCACCAATTGAAAATATAAAGAGCAGGAGTTTGAATGGAGACAGAGAGCGGCGAGGAGGGGGCCGGGTGTGTGTTTCATGCTGTCCCAGTTGCCTAAAGTGATTCTCTCAATAATGTATTAGAGCAGTTGTTTATTATTTACTGTTTACACTGCTCCGCTCGCTGCTGCGTTCCTGGAGTGACACTTGCACCCTCACGTCTGCGCAGACACCCAGGCCTCCCTCCGCCGCAGAAGCCAGCCAAGCAGACTGGTACACCCTGCTCCACACCGCGCTCAGCTGATGCAAAGGCACTGGACTGAGAAATAAAAGACATCTCGCTTCATAGGAGCTGTTGTACATGCATCCGGAGGTTGTCAAAAACACACTTTCACCTTATCCACACAGGAGCCCAGTCCTCCAGGGCATTCACCATTCATATTTATACAGTCCAAGTATCTGACCAGCCCACACAGCTTACCATTCAAATGTACCTGGCTCATATCAATGCATGTAGGAGACTGTGTGTGTCGGGTTAGAGGGAAAATGTCAAATATATTCTGATACATTTTCGAAGACGCAAAGACATACAGTAGAACATGACCCTGCTCTAAATGTGTATATAACTTTGCACTATAAATATATACAGATATTTTGGAGAGATTGATTTGTAGCTAGCTAAGAAACATAACAGCTACTTATTTAGTATGTTTTTTATTTTGTATATTTTGTGTGCTCCCTGTGTCTCTTAGTACTGTCCTGTATGTGCGCTGCAACATTGACATTTCCCCCACTGTGTGACAAAAAAAGGATCTATTATTTGAACATAGTATTTTGATCCACATATTCAGACAATATCAGTTAAATATTTGAATTAAATAACAATTAACAATAACTTTTTCTTTAAGTTTATGGACATTTATCGACATTGGTCTCTGCCCCTCGGTTTTTATCATGACATTTCCTTCGAGAAAACTACTGTTGTGATTTAGGGCGATACAAGAATACGCTGAATTCAATTTAATAGACCATTTTTAAACTCCCTTTCCCTTGCGTACTCCTTGTCAGTAACTACACCACTCTAGCAATTGAATGTCTTACATGTGTTTTAACAGATTCTCAAATGAATAAATAAATAGTGGGAAGGAAATTGAAATTGAATAGAATTGTTTCTTCTTAAAAATATATATAAACTACAAAAATGTATTTATGAGTTGGGAATTTGTGATGTTTAAGTGTTCAGGGTTGTAGTGGTACTGGTGCATACAGCAATAATTAGTTGGTAACAAAAACTATGAGCAAAAGATGGTTTTTCTCAGGTTTCTGTGCTCATTGGACCAATAAAAACAATGTTGATTGGATAAGAGGAACCTCAACCCACTGTAGGGAAATGTCAGTGTTGCAGTTCAGTAAGAATAAGGAGAAATGGAAAGTTAGGAGGGTTCAGATTATTAAAAAACAAATCATCAAAGTAAGTGCATTCATTGATAAGAGAAGATGGCTTCAAAAAGGTCTAACTGGTCATAGCTGACAATAATTACATCCTTCAGTTTCCATATTAAAGTCACCAACTCCCAGGCCAGTTGCGGGAAATAACACCGGGGTAGACACTCCCACAGACACACACACACACACACACACACTACTGTACCCCAAAACATAAACAAGCCGCACGCTCGCACACACAGGCAGCGGTTTCAAAGTCATAAAATGAGGGGACTTCAAATGCAGCTATTTGTTTGGGGCCTGTTGTCGTGGGAATAGGCAGAGCGACTGAGCTGCTTCATTAGAATTCCTTTCAAGTTGTGGAGTGCGGCCTCCCTGTGTTCCTCTCCCCATATTCCCTGACCCCGACGCATCTCCACGGGGCTGAGGTAGGGGCGGGCGCGGCTACAAGGGGCCTACCGTGCTGCTGCCAAGGAAAGCACAACACAACACGCAACTTTTAACCACAAAACTACAAATGCTGGGTTTGGGAAGTTCACAGGAGATAAATGTGGGGGAAAAACAGTGCGAAAGTTTGCATGTGATGTTTGGAATATTGCTCTGTTTGAATTGTTTCTTCTTTAGAAAATATATAATTTACAAAAAGGTATGTATGAGTTGGGAATGTATTTTGTTTAAATGTTCAGGGCAGTAGTGGTGCTACATAGAGAAATGTTAAGTTGGTGACAAAAACTGTGACCAAAAGATGTTTTTTTTTCAGGTTTCTGTGCTCATTGGACCAATATAAACATTGCCGATTTTCAGTGGGCATTATGACAATGGTGAAAACCGGAGCACCGGAGGAAACCTACAAAGAGAACATGCAAACTTTGCACAAAAAGGCCATGTCTGGAGGTGGAACCGAACCCAGGACCAAATGGGCCACAGTGTTGATTGAAGATAATTCAATTTGATAAGAGACATACATCAGGGAAAGGTCAGTGTTGCAGCGCACATGCAGTTCATATACTCAAAAAAATACACATTTCTACTACCACAAGATATTTCCTACCCTGGTCTTACCATGTGTAAACTCTGGTCCATGATCATTTCCTACATGTACGTCTGGTCTTACCATGTGTAAACTCTGGTTCATGATCATCTCCTACATGTACGTCTGGTCTTACCATGTGTAAACTCTGGTTCATGATCATTTCCTACATGTACGTCTGGTCTTACCATGTGTAAACTCTGGTCCATGATCATCTCCTACATGTACGTCTGGTCTTACCATGTGTAAACTCTGGTTCATGATCATTTCCTACATGTACGTCTGGTCTTACCATGTGTAAACTCTGGTCCATGATCATTTCCTACATGTACGTCTGGGTCTGATCCTAGTGGCTGCAGTTTCCTCGGTTGAATCCTCTCCGACCAATCAGAGAGCGGGGGAGGCGGGTGTTGTAGGTCGGTGTCGGTGACGTCAAGAGTTTGTACTGAATTTGCTGGTTGTAGTTTGTCGGAGAATGTGATAGTAAAATAATCTGTTCTGGTTCAATCCAAATATCAAGAAACTGAAGCCGGAGCAAGAGGAATGTTTAGTAAATGTCATTGAAGCAAAGATGTTGTGGCTCTACTCTCCACGGGCTCCGTTAGTGGCAAAGGAGATGGCTAAAGCTAGACTAAATGCTAATACTAGGCTAAATGCTAAATCCCTCACTCACTCGGGCTCATTACATATGTCACAGTAAACTCAGATCCAATCATTTCATTCTGCAAAAGGAGTTAGCCCCTCCCACCTGTTACGGAGGCAATGGAGGAAATCCAGGCCTTAGTACAAAATTAAATCAGTATGATGGTGTGGTAAGACCGGGCTAGGTATTTCCAGAAATCAATCACTAAATAACATTTCGGTTTGAGTCGTTGAGACAGTGCCACACTTAGAGCCCAGGATGTGAGTCTCCATAAAACCTGATGCAAACAAACAGCAGAGACTCCTCCCCATCGTGTCCTGTCGCTGCATCACCTCAGAGGGATTCTGGGGGAGGTACAGCTCAGTGCTCACTCACAGGAGAGGGCCGTGTTGTTCAGAGACACCAGAGACACCGCGACTGCAGCTGGAGCAGAGCTTATATCTGCATCTGCCTTTTTTACACATTCATCATTACTTTCCTCATCGGCTGAAACGGTGCCACAGCTTTGCCACGGAGTCATGACGATTGGAGGTTGACACTCCTTATAAGTCATATAAAAATAAAATATGGTTATCCTACAATAGTAAAAAAACAGTGTAGCAACCCTCACCCTACATATGTATAATGGACTTTAATGAAACCTACAAATCAGGACAGAAATCTAGGTGTGTTAATGGACTCAGACCTGAATTTTAACTGCTTTTTATCACTTAAAGAACATTGCGAGGATCAAAAATACAGTTTCTAAAGCAAACTTGGAGATCCTTATACATGCATTTGTCTCCGGTTAGCTTACTGTAATGGCCTGCTCACTGGTCTCTCCAAAGACCTAGACTAGAACCCGGAAGTTCTAGCCAGTCCGGAAGTCCAGTTCTTAGGTCTCTGCACCTGTGGCTCAGAGAATAGACTTTAAAGCAGCTCTGTTTGTTCCAAGTCTCTCCATGGCCTCGCACCAGAGAACATCTGAGACATGTTAGAACCATATGAACCAACTTTGAGGAGCACAGGGACTGGTCTGCTGCTGGTCCCAGAGTCAGAACTAAAAATGGGGAGGCAGCGTTTCAGATTTATGCAGCTAAACCTGGAACAGTCTTCTCTGACAATGTTTAAAACAGTTCTGGTATTTTATTTTTACTCTAGTCTGCGATTATCCATGATTGAAATGCCTTGTGTGATTGTTTCTATCTTGTTTTGTTTCGCACTTTGAGTTGCCTTGTGGGTGAACTGAGCTATACAAATAAACTTGTGATAGAACCAAACAGTTTTGAGAGCGAGGAACTACAGTAGTTTTTGTGGTTTAATTCACAAAAACGACTACGAAAGAAACTTAGTATAATGTAACCTATCAATCATTTCTAATTCCACAGCAGCCTTTGTTTGAGAGATTCCCCTTTCTCTCTCTGTTGAGCCGGGGTCACTTTGGCAGGGCGGCCTCTTCTCGGACGGGCCCCCAGCGGGTGCCAGACTGCAGGGAGAGGGACGCGGAGCTGCTGCCCGTCACAGCCCACTGGTCACCTGACGGACCCTGGGGCCTGCCAGACTGACACCACCCCCAGCCAGGCGGGGAGGCAGCCCGGGCAAGGGAGGGGCACGGGGCAGAGCTGTGTGGAGGTGGACATTGGCACAGGGGACAATCACTATCCAATGCATTTATCCATTTCTTACAGAGCCATATCTGTGGTGGAAAGTGAAAGGCTGGTTTCAAGTGCAATAGAGCAGCTAACACGGAGCTACAGGCAGGACTCCGCTGCAATACCTTTGATTTTGGAGTTGATAAGTGTAATCTCAGTGGTAAGAGAGGGTGAGCAAGGGCAGGGCAGAGTGAACAGTGCTTGTCCCAGCGTGAGTCTGAGGTGGAGGGGAGAGAGAGGAGGACAACACTCACAGAAGCTCTCAGGCGTGTCCAGAGCATGAGGCTCCTCTGCAGATACACAGACACACACCTCCACAACGGCTGTCTGCACTGACTGCTACAAGGCTACGTTTCAAGCTAGTCTTTCATCGCTGTCTTTTGTCAACCCAGTTCAAGCCAAGTCAAAGCAAAACCTTGAAACCAAATGGAACAAATCAATCATGTTATGAATATGAAGTGATGAGCATAAATAATGGAAACAATTTTAGGTTAAATTAGGTTGGCGGATGGGAAACTCTGCCATATTTTGAGCTGCTTTTACAACAATACAGACATTATTGTAGCCTGAGGAAGGAATTTAACCGT